TGTGTGATCAATGACACTCTGTAGTGGGAGACGATCGACGGGGTTGTGGCGAAGCAGCTTGGAGATCAGGTCCCGTGCACCGTCTGAGATGTTTTTGGGGAACTTCAAATCCACCTGCAAACAGTAGGATATCATCTATTAATGAAATCTGAACCATGACTGGTGTAAAATAACCTTGGACTTTAATTAAAATCAGTCAAGGGACAGTTTCCCCCAAAACAAATATAGTTCACCTGTAATGCTATTACTAGATTGTTTTGGCGCATTTGTGTTGGAGGTATCGGCAGTAGATATTTCTGTCTTTTCTAAAATAGCACAGCAAATTGGAATACAGGAAAAATATGTATTTTTGAGTTTCGGGTAGACCATCCCTTTATGACCTCAGCAAAAAAATGTTTGCTAGTCATTGCAGAGATTTAAGTCCTAATGTGGTCATGACATGCTCATATAGAGGGAAAACCTTAAAGTTCATTTACAGATGGTTAAATACATTTCTGCCAGGTGTTTCGCTCAAACTTTCCTATAGAAAAGATTACTCAACATTCATATTTGTCCAACACCAACCTTCATAATTCTTTTGTATGTTTCTGAATGGCTGGCAGTTTCAAAAGGTGGGTTCCCGACCAAGCATTCGTAGCAGAGGACCCCGACGCACCACAGGTCCACCTTCTCACTGTGAGTGTGACCCTCAATCATCTCTGGAGGGAGGTAGTCCAGAGTCCCGCACATTGTTTGACGTCTGGAAAGATTTTAAAACAAGAAGTGAGCTAAGAAAAGCAGCAACAAGCATCGTGTGACTCACCAGTATTGAGACAGTTTTGATTTGACAGTAGAACTTTATATTGGATCCTCACCTTAGAGAAGGTGCATGGACGGACCATCCAAAATCGGCAATTTTCAGCTCTCCACGAAAGCCCAGAAGCAGATTCTCTGGCTTGATATCACGATGAATCACTTTCCTTTCATGGCAATACAACAGTGCGTCCGATATCTCCTCCATGTACTAAAAATGTAAAGAGGTTAACTTAATAGACAAGACTTTAAAGAATACTTATTTTTCAAGATAACAAAAACTAAATTGTAGATATAATTGTCCATCGGTCAAACTTCTCTTTGAACACAGGGCACCGACTAAACGATAACAGCGCAAATAAAATGCCTTTAAGAAGGAACATCATATCTTACGGTTGCAGTGCGCTGGTCATCAAATGTTCCACATCTCTGTAGCTCCTTGTACATTTCACCACGTGGGGCGTACTCAAGCACCAAGAACACCCTGGTCTGATCATAGAAATAATTGTAGAAGCGCAAAATGTTGGGGTGCCTGAGGAGAAAACAGAGGGTGTTATGAGGAATCTGTTAGTCTTTGTTTTGAAAACAAATTAAAATACATTTCAGGTCAGCATGTTCGTGGTAGAAGATACAAAAATCCTGTTTGAGCAGGTTTAGTTAAAGGACACCTATCATGCTATATTTGAACAATATATTGTAGGGCCATACCTATATAAAGTATATAAATATAGTTTTTTTTTTCAAAATACCAAACAGATCCTGCATTTTAGCCATGCCTCATTTCGCTCCATTTTGCTCTTTCCAGCCCTGTTTTTGCAGGGGGCTGATTCTGTGAGCTGCATTTTGGCGAATGGTTAGGTGGCGCGATAGTCTGTTGTGAACGAGCGCGCTCCCCTCACGGGAGCCAGCTCGTGCTGCGCTCCCCTCACGGGAGCCTGCTCGTGCTGCGCTCCGCAGCTAACAGCGGTTTGCTTTTCACCCAACAACGACATCCGACTCACGAAATGCTATGTTGTAGCGTTGATAAACGAAACAATTTAACAAAATTGCTAGTCAAAATACCTATACCACAGGACCTTTTTTTTTAAATTTAAGCAATATTTTTAGTGGCCCGAGCGGGCAAGTGGAAAGTACGTTATGCTGGCCCGGAGTGTCTAAATAGTGCTTCCGGGCCAGTGGGCCATTTATAATGTTGAGCCCTGAAATGTTTTTTAGGATACTCACTTAAGATGTGACTGGATCTCAATCTCCCTCCTGAGTTGATGCTCCACGCCTTCCTTCTCCATCTGTGACTTGAACAACACCTTCAGTGCCACGACGGCCTGCAGCGACTTCACCCTCGCAAGGTAGACATTTCCAAATTTGCCTTTCCCCAGAGGTCGACCGATGTCAAAGTCCTTGATGGAGATTTTCCTTATGAAAGTAAAAAGATGGATATTTATACTCATTTTAACCACTTTGATTTGGGAAAGCATTACAAAAAACACAACTGGCAACAAAACGTGACGTTTTTAAGAGTTATACGTACTTTGCGACTGCACTGGAGGATGAGCCAACACACTCTCGCCCTGGGCCTGAAATAATAATACAATTGAAACATTTCTTATGGTTTTTGAATGTTATTTATAGAAGAGGCGGGTAATGTTACCTGTGATGGCCTTTTTGTCCATCTCTGCTCGTGGTTTCACCTGAACGCGCTGTGGGCCTGCCACCATGCTTGGGGTTGCGACCTGTTATACAGAAGCAAACACAAATAATAAGAAACCCATTGTTAAAATGTTGTTCCAGACAATAATAGTTTCTGATCTATTTTGATACCAATATTGGCATGATAAATGGTCAGTTTTAGTTCAATTTATTAAATATTGCTTGATCCCAGCGGGAAATATATATGTATATATTTTGTTTACAAATTTGACATCTTACCGGTCGTGTGAAACCCTTGGGGTCATCATTTTCCTTATTCTGTAAAGAAATAAATACAGCAATCACATTAATTTACCATACAATTGAACTTAATGCATATTTTCTTGTCATTCAGACTCTAAACTGAGGTGAAAGTTTAAACCTATATGCTGGAAGACTCCAAATTGGAAACAGATTATTTTTTAACGGTGCAATTGAATTTTTAAATTTCCTTTTTTAAACTATTTGCCCACGTCGTAGTGAACCTCATTTGATCACAAACTATTTCAGAGAGCTCAAATTAAAGATGTGTACAGTTGGATATACAGTTCAGACAATCTGTACTACTGCAGTGGATTGTGTTTTTTTTTGTATTATAGTGTACATTTTCAGCAACACGTTGGAGAAGATCTGCTGTGTTTGATATTGATGCACGGTTTTACTAAATTGTATAATGATAACAAAGGCGCATTTATTGTCAAATATTATCAAATATATTCTAACACCAGATGATTGTCATATTCCTAGTGACTGCATGCATTATTTAAATAGCTACAGGTGTTTCCTGTGGATTCCGTATATAGGCTACGTTTAAATTATAACGTAGAAGTTTTGTTTTTTCTAAATGAGAAAGGTCCAGTAGGCCATTGTTAGGCTACGATACAATAACGTTGGCTCCCTGGTCTGAGGTTGGGTGTAATGCAGGGACAATGTAACCTACTAATCCGGTTAATTTGGATTAAACCACAGTTGCTATTCTAAATATTATCTACGTACGTTAAATACGGCTTTTAACAGAATATAACGTGGCGTCATGCTAAGTTAGCTTAGCAAACCCAACGCTAAAATGAGCTAACTTGTTTAGCAAAAATCTGTTCCCTTTTACACCATTCAGAATTGGCGCGTATTACGAATCTTTTGTTGCCCTAATCTAGTACACGGTCTTATTTCTCTATCAAAGACTTAAAAAAATAGATTTACCTGCATTGTAGAGAAGGCTGAACGTATAAACGTTTTAGTATAAACCCCAGAGTTACTATTGTATTTTGAACTCTCTCCGCCGCCAACGTGTTTAAAAACTGTTTTGCACGCACCTGATTGGCCAGATTTGTTGCATGTGATTGGTTTACACTGACGTCATTAAGACGTCGACCCGCCCTACTAGTTCCATGGATGGATGTATAGTTCCCTAATCCCTACCTATTTTTAGAGGAGTGTCCTATCTTCTCGGTACATTACTTTTGTTTTCTTCATAAGCTTGGCACCTAATATAAACAGTTTATGGCCTGGCCACATGAACCTAATCATATTCATATTTAATACAACTGAATAAATGTGTTATATATCAATATATTTGATAATCACATTACACGTTTTATTTTCTGCATAAATGTCTGTCTATCAATCAAAATTTAGATCTTTTATGGAGTTTTTAGTATATGGTGCAATTAGAAGAAAAAAAAGACAAATGATACAAAATATGTATTTGTTCAAAATAGTTTTATTCAGAACAATTTCTAATATGTATTCTACAGAGTGTTAAAATGAAAATGGTTGGTATCAATGCATCACAATTAATTTCAAAGACATACATCTTCCATGTTTTCCACTATTGTATAGGCAATGGTTTTCCCAATAATACATTAATGGTTTTCAATAACACATCAAACAGACATTAACAATTACCATTTCTTATTTCTAAAAATAAAAGTGAAACAGAATTGGGACTTGTTAAAGACTCATTTAAATATCCCTTGCTGTTTTTGCTGTCAAACCAAAACCAAAACACCTGCTTGTATCAGATGTTGATGTTTTTTCTGATAGTATACATTGTGAACCGAAGGAACAGGAAACAGGTGCCAGCGGTACGGTCCTGTTATACGCCTGCTTGTGGCTTCACCCTCTAGCTGTGACAGTTTCATAATGTGTTATTTGAGTGTGACTTAAGTTTAAAAGAGTACATATGAATAACCTTGAAGGCAGTCTTCTTATTTCATACATCAAGAGCTTCTCATTTGGTTTTCCATACAAATGTATAACGTACTTCACAATATATAGCACCATTAAAAAAAGTAAGCTTTTATTCAAGTTTGAAGAACAATGTTTGGAAAATATTCTGTTAAAACCAAATAGATATGTATGGATGTTAAACAAATTATGGCCCTGAATCATATTAAACATTTTGCTTACCAAGAAGCCAACCATTTTTTATTTGCAAAGTTGATTTACTCCTCTGGCTTTTGAGGTTGACAGATTATTAAAAGGTGGCAAAAAACAGTCTTAAAAGCCTGGACAAGTTGGTGGACTTTTTTCAGTATAGTTTATTACAATTTCATCAGTATTATACAGTAAATGTTTTGACAGCGATCCTTTTTAAAATGTTTAAATTAAAAGATCTGATTCCGATATCTGGAACCTGCTTTACTTCATTTGTGATATATTGTCGTGTCATACATATACGCATGACACAATAATAAAAACTGAAGTTGTTTGTTGTATTTATAACGCTACATAAAATGACATATGCTTTTGTGAAAGGGAACTGTATCTCTATTTGCTACTACCTGTATAAAGAAGTAGTAGAGACTTAGTCTGGATTAATCTGAACAGAGCAGTTGGTGAAAACTACAGTGCATGATGGCAGCAGGGCAGCCAGTGAGCGACGCAAACTGGGTATGGGATCGTTTGCATCTAGTGTCCTGTTCTCATCATTGCTGTTATCTCCACCTGCTGCTTCATCATTGTCCTGCTCTTCTCCTCCTCCACCACCAACACCACCACCACCCTCTCCCTCCACTACAGGTGGACACTGTGGAGGCTGGAAGATCACGTCCAAAAACTCCAGCCGGCGGAGTCCACGGAGCATCCTGCAGCTCCGCACTATCTGCATCTTGCTGAGCGTGCAGGCCCACAGGCACAGACACTTCAGGTCCTTCAGACGGCTGGCGCAGAGCAGGCCCGGCCCCACCTCCTTACCCCCTAGACTCAGCTCCTCCAGGCCCAGCCATCCTGCCCCCAGCCCGAGGGAGGCCATCTGTAACTGGTAGCCTTGCCGCCCAGTGATGCCTATTTCCAGAAACTTGAGTCTGGAGAGCCCTTCCACACCACAGACGCCCTCCTTGGCAGCACTGCTCCTGAGTCCGTTTGCTGTCACACGAAAGGTGTCGCGCAGCTCCAAGCGCCTGAGCCTCTCCCATGTTGTCAGACTCTGCAGATGCTGGTCTGTGAAAGAGGGCACGTTGTTGAGGACTAACGTATCAATGCCAATCCCTGATGGAGAGGCTTGCCCTTTTCCTTTCTGATCCCTTCTTTTCTGTTGAGCACCAACACTGGATGTGGCTTCTGGTGTTTCTTGGGAACTAGCAAGGGAAGTCTGGTTGAAAAATTCTCGCGGCAGCTCACAGCCACGCAGCTCCAGGATCTGCAAAGATGGAGGGAGGAGCTGGCAACTGGGGAGGCCTCGCAGGTCTGCGTGCAGAAGATAGAGCTTACTCAGGCGAGGGCACTTTGTGGACAAAGCTTTTAGCCAAGACTCAGACAGAAAGGTTCCTCCTCGGGCAGAAAGAAGCAAACCACGCAACCGCAGGCACCGTAGACCACAACCCAGGTACTGACGCAGCAGGAGCCAGAGTATGCGGGATGTTACCTAACACACAATGGACAGTCCATGTATGTGTTGAGTGTGGGGGGGGGGGGGAGGGAGGCAAAAGAGACAGTTTCAGTCAATATTGCACAGACACAGAACCTGTATGAACAGCATTGTCTTCAAGAGAAAACTGAACTTTTTATTTTTATTTCAGCACTACCTAATGAGGCCTAAGGAAGTAAAGGTGAACACATATTTCTGAGTCATGTCCGGACACGAAACCTCTGATAGAGGTTGCTGTTTCTTCTTTGTCTTTTGTTTTGTTTTTTACAGATGTTGTTATTGGTTTGATGTGACGTTCAACACTTTAATATACGTTTCTCAATGACACCAAGTCTCTTGAGATGGTTGTGTTAGATTTCAAAGACAGAGAGTAGAGCCTTTTCTTCATCGCTATTTGGTGAAGTGTTATAGGTACAGTACATGTGATTATAATGTATAAGAAATGGTACCTTTTTAGAGGCCACTTGCTAAGATTGCTTATAATTGTTTATTTATGTGTATTTCTATTGTGACAAGTATGTAGAAAGAACCACTGCCATACACCACAGCCTAAGATAATTTGCAATATACGTGCTTAAATTGGTCTGAGAACAAACAAACTCAACAATAGAGACTCGAATATGATAAGGTGCCATAAAACAAGAGGCGTCATTCATGACTACATGTTTGTTTCATTAATGACATGGCTATGTTCCCTAAATAAATGTAACACCACACTATGAAAGGATTAATGGAGAGAAAAAAGGTGAAGCCACATCGCCGGTAACACTCTTACCCCTTTCCATGTAGTCAGATCCACAAGTCTCCACAGTCTTTGGTCTTTAACGAGACGTTTCCATCTCTTACACACTCTAAGAAACACCGTAAAAAAAAAAATAATAACTTCATCATGTGACATAAATGAGTCACAACAAAAGACAGTTTTATTTCACAAGACGAATAACTGGTTAAAACAGATGTCAGCAAAGTTAAATGTATCTTACCTCCCGGCTCTGACAACCTCTCGTACGCTCAAAAACGACAAGACATCAATTAAGATGTTTTCTGGAAAATAGTCCAGGTTACAGGCTTTATATTCATCCATTTTGTAAACAAAACTATTAAAGCCTTGAACACGGACTGGTATCCCGGCGCACACAGGATGTGCTACCTCAGCTAGTCCCCCGGAAACATGTCCCTCCGTGGAAGGACCGAGCGGCAGTTAGTCTGCAATATCTTGAACTTCTTTATGTGAAACACACAGAAACACAGCTTGTCTCAGATCACATCAGCCTATATTTATGTAAAACTGTGTAATGTAGGGCAGTAACTATGTGGAACAGCTTGTTTTACAAGATTATGATCTTTTTGTTAACTTAAAAGACACAATTATCGCAGACAATACATAATAAAATACATGTATTCAAAACTTACGAATAGATAAGGAGGATTTATATTCTAAATGATATAAATACGGTGGAGGAAAGTAACTAAGTACATTTAGTTCAATACTGTACTAGTGCGAAAGTACTAGAAATAAAGTAAAAAAATAAAAACCGATGTGAACACTTCCTGCAACACTGCCACCTAACGGTCGTTGAGGTGAAAAGCACACTGCGCCTGCGCGGATTACTGGACAAGATGGCGACCAGCAATGGTGGAGGAATGGAAGTGGATGGGGCAGGCGAGTATTTCTCACTTATCGCAACATTTCTGCCTGATATTAACACAAACACCATAGCATATGTCCTACATGTGTGTTGTGGGTGTGTGTAAGTGTTGATTTAGTGATGTTTAAGGTGGTAGTTGGCTAGCTTGCTGACATAAGCGGGCTAACGTACACGGCTCTGCTATAAAGCTGTCAACAAATGCATCACTTTGTGGTGTTTTAATCAGTATTTTCATATATTTTCTTGCTTTATTACTCGAGTTAGCGTCAGGAATATAAACATAAGTCAGTCCGCTCAGGCAGGATTGATGGAAAACATACTGACTAGTCATAACAACAACCCAATCTCTATTTAAGGCTGTTCCGCTGTCCATGTGATGAATGGGCCTATCTCTAGCTTTCAGTGAATGTATATCACATGTTTGTATTGAACCATAGAAGACTATACATACAGTTTATTATTGTGTTAATACTAATTTAAATTAAGTTCATGTGCAAACATTCAGAGATATAAAAAAGATAATATCAAATGTATAGTAAGTATTTTGAGATTGGAACAGTAATATTTAAAAAAGCGTTTTATTTGAGGGGGCCTTTCGCCATACCTAAGGCCTCCGTACAGTTCAATCAATACTCAAAAAGATTCATACATGATGAGAAAACAAACAGGGAAAACATAGAACACACATTCATAATGATCAAATTATGGAACATTTTCCAAATAAATGATCAAATAAATCTATATAGCAATTATGAGAAAAACTAAAGATCTAAATCTGAGAATAGGAACATGATTCGTGTAATGCAGTCTAAAGACCTATTCATTGTCCTTTATTTCCCCCAAATCAATGATAATATGTGATAGTATTGAATATTGCATTGACAAAATAACTCTCAATAAATCAACAATTATTAAAGTCTACGTGGTCCTGGCTTTCTGCTGGTTTTTATTAAACTTTTAAAGTCTTATAATGTTGAAATGTAATATATATATATATATATATCTGTGTATTAAGCTATTACTGGCCTAAACACCATTACAACATAAATTATTGTTATAATCGATTGGATTCAAACACACATCAATGAATGGAGTTTGCAAAAGTTCTATTCATCTATTTCAGCTACTGTATGTCCTGATATATATGTATGTGTTTTTGTTTTCTGATTGTCTGATCAATCCTCTAAAAGCTGTCAGTAAATGACTGAAAAATGTGACGTTGTAAATTAGCTTGTTCTTCTGAAGTATCTGTAGATGTTAAAGCTCCTCTTGTTGTGTCTCTGTTGGACTGTAGCCAGCCCCAGTGTTATGGCTGCAGGCGTCACCGGCAGCGTGTCTGTGGCCTTACACCCTCTGGTGATCCTCAACATATCTGACCACTGGATACGCATCCGCTCTCAAGAGGGACGTCCAATGCAGGGTATGTAAGACAGCTCTATTGAAGAGAGATGGCACGTAAACAGTCATTTAATGCACGAGTTCATGTTTTATTTCCTGTTCAGTTATTGGCGCCATGATCGGGAAGCAGGAGGGGAGAAACATCGAGGTGATGAACTCCTTTGAGTTGCTGTCCGTCACCATAGATGATCGGGTACACATTGACAAGGAGTACTACTACACCAAGGAGGAACAATGTAAGTAGATTGTGTCTGTGAATGACAAAAAAACGATACTCTTTTTTTTTTATTCTCCTTTCATTATTTTAAGAAATGTAGTAAAGCCATGTCTTTTGTCTTGGCATAAAATCTCATAAAAATGTAATTAAAAAAGCATACTAGTATATTAGTAGTACATAGTAGCTTTATCAAAGGACTGCAAATTATATTCACTCATTGAAAAATGTCTACGGTGCTTATTACAGAAGTTCTCGTGCTTGCTGTAGTTCTTATTTTATATTTTCTTTTGTCTCTCAGTCAAACAGGTCTTTAAAGAGATGGAGTTTTTGGGCTGGTACACCACAGGCGGACCCCCCGACGCATCAGACATCCACATTCACAAGCAGGTACGCAAAAGTGGCGATATGTACAGTCAATGTTGTTGTTGGTAATACATAGTCATCTGTCCAAGAGTAAATACTATTTGGTTCAAGATTTATCCCAAATGAATGGCTATATTAAGTGGGACAAATAACTTTTTGGGCTTCTGCTATCAAAATTAAATATCTAATTGTAATTCTGTTATTTCAGATTGTGTGTGCTACATTTTGTTTACTGTTATTTCCCTGTTGTCTGCCAGGTGTGTGAGATCATTGAGAGCCCTCTCTTCCTCAAGCTCAACCCCTTGACCAAACACACAGATGTGAGTTTCTCTGCATTTTCCCCTCATAAATAAGTTGTTTATTAGATAGAGCTGCTTTTAACAAGGTTTTTTTTTTTTCCTTCAGCTTCCTGTCAGTGTTTATGAATCTGTGATTGACATCATCAACGGCGAGGTAATCTTTTTATTTCATACCGTCTAAATATCCTTTTCAAAAGCAGTGACCTAGTTTCCTACAGAGAAGTCTGATCTGACATGTTTTTATTTAACGTAGGCTACCATGTTGTTTGCTGAGCTGACGTACACTCTGGCCACAGAGGAAGCGGAAAGAATCGGTGTCGACCACGTAGCTCGAATGACCGCCACCGGCACCGGAGAAAACTCAACAGGTACGAGTTATTGGAGCATCGGCACTTTCGGCAGGTTCTTCTCATGCTGCTGTTAATCTGGATATCAACAGACACTAGCGGCCCGCGCATATGATTATATAATCAGACAACGTCCGTTAAAAAACATTATAACACATATAATGAGAGACGTTCTGCAGGAGGGGCGTTTCACCCACGACAGGGGTTCTTAATTGTATGTAGTTGACGGAGCATTTTTACTTTACACGACACTGTTCAACACTTAATTCTGCTTCACTCTTTAACTAAACAACCGCGGATGTCTTGAAAGACTCTTTCGCTAAAGACTTTTGAAGACATCCGCGTTCTTGTGACACGTAAATACTACGCTTCCTATGTTTTGGTGCGGACTGCGTTCACACCAGCAATGAACCGCTCCAGAGTTCGCAAGCAAGAGTTCCGAGACCACCTATTTTAGCGGACCAGAGTCCGGTTGTTTAGTTCACTTAAGAGGTCTCGGACTGTGTTCACACCGACCCAAATGAACCGCACCAAGCGGCTAAACGCACCAGGGTTCGATTCAACCGGACTAGAGTATCTTTGTAATTACATTTTTTTATCATTTCATATTCCAGCTATTCCTCAAAAAACATGTTTTGGATATCATGTCATTTACATTTTAAATTTACATTTTAAGAAATTGTAGTTTTTGTGTTACTACCCCAAGCTTCCATAAGTGGGTCAAAAATGACCCGCATGCATTTTCTATGGAATTTCGTTTTTTTTTTCAAAATGTAAAAGAAATGTCTAAAATGATAAATAGTGAAAAATTAAATATAAAATATTTCTAGTGTGAACCAAAATATAATACTAAATATTATACAAGTGATTTTTCTTAACCAAAATGACAAAAATGGCATAAAAACACATATTATTCTAATACGGGTCCTTTTTGACCCACTTATGGAAGAGTGTAGGGTCCAGTCACTCATGCATCTAAGGGTTCACTGACTCTCTGTTTCTTCTCCTCTAGTGGCTGAGCACCTCATAGCCCAGCACAGTGCGATCAAGATGCTCCACAGCCGGGTGAGGATCATCCTAGAGTACGTCAAAGCCGTGGAATCAGGTGAGAGACGACAGCCCTTTTTTAATGAGGCAGTTAGAGCGAAGAATGTGGAAATAAGTCTGGAAAACAGCTGTTCATAGATAAGATGTTTCCAGGCCCCTCGAACACACCTCCTTAATTACAAGCCTCTGTAAGATACTGTTTTGACGACATAGTCTTACCTCTTTGTTTTAGTATACTGAGCTGAACATGTTTTTTAATATTTCCCCTCTGTCTTTATTCTCTGCAGGAGAGGTGCCATTTAATCACGAGATCCTCCGAGAAGCGAACGCCCTCTGCCACAGATTGCCGGTCCTCAGCACCATCAAATTCAAAACAGACTTCTATGATGTAAGCAAGCTTTTTGAACCTTCACATATAAGAAGTGTTTATCCCCCCTAATGCATTTCCCTCATCGGAAAGTCAAAAGATATGGCTGACATGATGAGTCTATGTTTTCCTCGAGGAACAAATCCCATATAACGGCTAATTCCAACAAATCATGTGATATTTTTTTTGTACTATTACTGTTACTATTTTAAGCTACTTGTTTATTGATTTTATAGATTCTTGTTAATCATAATGCAGAAACATGTTATGCAGCACTATCATGAGGTTTTCGGTGTGTCTTTAATTGTTTTTGGAATCAGTAGGATGAATCAAATGTTGCTTTTGGTCTTTGCATATGATTTATTGACATTGAAAAAAAAAAGAATGGATGTTAAATGTAGCAGGAAAAACATTTGAACAATGCAGATTTTTGAACACTTCATTTTGGGTTACAGTATATTTTCCAATGCTATATTTATATTTACAAAATACAATCTCCACATAAGACAGAAACGTATAACCATGAATGATTACATTGTCATGATCAGTGTTAAACAAGCAGTCTTACACTGTGTTTTATTGTTTTGCTTTGTATAACGCTGCCTTTCTTCTCCCCCTGCAGCAATGTAATGACGTGGGTCTCATGGCCTACTTAGGCACCATCACTAAGACCTGCAACAGCATGAACCAGTTCATCAACAAGTTCAACGTCCTGTACGACAGACAGGGCATCGGCCGCAGGATGAGAGGACTCTTCTTTTGAGCTGACAGCGAAACGAGGCAGAGACATGCGCTGCAGTTTCTTTTTGGTTTGTTTCATTTTTGGTTAGCTAAAACAAATTCTACAGGATCTTCTCAAACCTGTTTCTCATTTTCAACCACAAGTGTAATGAAAAGCACTTAATTACACCGATCAGTAAGAGAAAATGGCTCAAGTCTGTCTTGGTTATGCACAGGAATGAGTTCACTGTACATGAACGTTATATATATTACCCGTTTGTTATATTGTTTCATGTTTCTGTATGTAATAAATGATCTGCTGACTTTTTTCATGGGACTTTGACTCCTCTTATTTCAAAGCTTAAACCTGGAAAACATTGCTTTTAATTTGAGTGCCCCTGATTTCTATAACAAAATACAGCATTTAAAATAAATGGATTTATGCCTTTTGAACATTTTAGAAATGTTGTATCAACAGTTCCAATCCTGTATTGGATGTTATAGTATTGTGCGCCATAAAAATGCCCTGGTGTATAATAGCATTGCAAAAAAGTATATTATGCTATAAGATGTCATAACAAAATTATTTGATAAGTCTTGGAATAGTATGCCTTAAAAAATAATAATAATCATAGTATATGATGACATAAAATTAGGAAAAAGTCATAGTATTTTTGTTGATTTAATGCCTTAAAAAGTCATAGCGAAGTACAAAAAAGTCAGAAAGGGAATATAGTTTCATACTATAGTATGTCAAGGTTCAAGGTTCAAGGTTCAAGGTTCTTTATTGTCAATCTGACATAGCTACAGAGTAATTATGCAGTTGAAAATCTTATGTCACAGGCTTCTCCAACAATGCAACATAATAACATAACATAATAACAATAAGAGCAAGAGCAATACAAAAATAATAATAGTTATAAAAATGAAATAAAGTTATGATGTGGAATAGTGCAGTATGAGTCTATATACAAGTTATTGGAATGATATATATATATTAGGTATTAGATACATACTACTGAGTAGCAGTTCAAAACGTCAAAACGTCAAAACGTCATAGTAAGGAGTGTCTAGAAAAGTCGTATCATTTGTCGAAAAAAAGGAATATAATTTAAGTCGGAAAAATAAGGTCATAGCATATTGTATGTCAAAAATAAAGTCTTAAGTTTCAGTATGTCCAAAAAAGTCTTTGTAAAACAAAGGCATATTTCCAGAAAAGTAATAGTGTATGTCAAAAAGTAATCATAGGCAAGGCAAGGCAAGGCAAGGCAAGTTTATTTATATAGCACCTTTCAACACAAGGTAATTCAAAGTGCTTTACAAAAATGGAAGACATTTTAAAAATGGCATTTAAAATCAGTCATTAAAAAGGAAAGATAATAAAATAAACATTAAAAGAAAAAATACATGGATAAAAGTTAAAAGTTACAGTGCAGTTTAAGATGTGAATAGTTCAATTAAAAGCAGCGGCAAAAAGAAAAGTCTTCAGCCTGGATTTAAAAGTAGTAAGAGTTGCAGCGGACCTGCAGGTTTCTGGGAGTTTGTTCCAGATATTCGGAGCATAATAACTGAATGCTGCTTTACCATGTTTAGTTCTGACTCTGGGGACAGAAAGCTGACCAGTCCCTGAAGACCTGAGGGTTCTGGATGGTTCATAATTTAGCAGTAGGTCAGACATGTATTTTGGGCCTAAACCATTCAAAGCTTTATAAACCAGCAACAATATTTTGAAATCTATTCTTTGACACACAGGAAGCCAGTGTAAGGACTTCAGAACAGGAGTGATGTGATCCACTTTCTTAGTGTTAGTGAGGACTCGAGCAGCGGCGTTCTGAATTAGCTGCAGCTTTCTAATAGATTTTTTAGTGAGGCCTGTAAAGACACCATTGCAGTAGTCAAGTCTACTGAAGATAAAAGCATGGACAAGTTTTTCCAAATCCTGCTGTGACATTAGTCCTTTAATCCTAGATATGTTCTTTAGGTGATAGTAGGCTGATTTAGTAACTGTTTTAATGTGACTGTTGAAACTCAGGTCAGAGTCCATGACTACACCTAGATTTCTGGCTTTATCTGTTGTTTTGAACATTGCAGACTGAAGCTCAGCGCTAACTTTTATACGTTCTGCCTTGGCTCCAAAAACCATTACCTCAGTTTTATCTTTGTTTAATTGGAGAAAGTTCTGACACATCCAGTCATTGATTTGTTCAATGCACTTACTCAGTGTTTGAATTGGAGCATAATCTCCTGGTGAAATTGTTACGTAAATTTGTGTGTCATCCGCATAGCTATGGTAACTTATTTTGTTGTTTTTCATTATCTGAGCCAGTGGTAGCATGTAGATGTTAAAGAGAAGAGGCCCCAAGATGGAGCCTTGAGGTACCCCACATGTCATATTTGTCAACTCAGATGTGTATTTACCTATAGAAATAAAGTTTTTTCTGTCCTTTAAGTAGGACTCAAACCAATTTAGAACTGTTGCCGAAAGTCCCACCCAGTTTTCTAGTCGGTCTAGTAATATGTTGTGGTCAACAGTGTCAAATGCAGCACTGAGATCTAATAATACTAACACTGAAGTTCTGCCACTGTCTGTGTTTAAGTGGATGTCATTGAAGACCTTTACAAGAGCAGTCTCAGTGCTGTGGTTTGGACGAAATCCTGACTGGAACACATCCAAACAGTTATTTAAATGCAAGAAGTTACTCAACTGTTGAAATACTACTTTTTCAATGATTTTACCTAGAAATGGCAGGTTTGATATTGGCCTGTAATTGTTCATTACTGAGGCATCTAGATTATTCTTTTTTAAGAGCGGTTTAATGACTGCAGTTTTCAGGGCCTCTGGAAAAATACCTGAGTGAAGAGATGTGTTTACTATATGAAGTAGATCTGAGGCCATGCAAGGAAAAACATCTTTGAAAAATCCTGTTGGAATAATATCAAGGCAGCATAGTCTATTGTTTTGGGAAATATAATAGTGCAGTATGCCAACACAAAGTGTATGTTACAAAAAAGTAATCTACCCTCATTGCAAATGATAGGCCCTTTTACATAACCGTTGTACCTCAAATTGTTTACATTTTCATCTTAACTAACACACTTGATCTATCAAATGATATTAAAAGTTGTATTATTTCTTAATGGTATTGTCTCTTCTCTGTTCCTTTCTTTTGAGGTCACGCCTCCACAATCTATTGGGCATAAATAAAAGAGTTCAGTCGATACAAATGATTAAAATAGAGTAGAAATGACTAACTGTACACAACAGATAGCCCATAATAATATCAGAGCTGCACTCTGGAGGGGAGCTATGTGCAGCTGCAGGTTTACTGTCAGAGTGTTTGTAGTTAGCGCAGCTTTTGAAGTTGTGTTCCTGCTGTTCGATTGCCTTCAGAGGATTAAACACAGACACGCAGCAGGAGAAAGGGGGCCGGGGGAGTTATAGCTCCAGAGTCGGAGGTCTGACAGGAGTCAGCGTTTTTATGGGTATTAAATGTACAGCGGAACCAGACATAATGACCCCCCATCCTGCAGGCTGGCACCTTTACTAGTCTGCTCTACCTGCCATGTGGCACTCTTTTCTTTCTGTCTTTCAAAAGTGTATCCAACATGGCTCCCACAGCTTCTGTATATACTTGTCTGTGAGACATGTTTTAAGGACCTTGGAAGTCTTGAACTGTTATCCTCTGTGCTAGACTAGACATGTTTTGACTTAGATCTTCAGCGCCTAAATAAGTCTCTATTGTTCAACTTAACAGTATATTGTTTTGCATTAAATGCTCAGTGTTGTATCATTAGGCTAAATAACCTGGATCCATGTTGGGTCCTTGAGGGAATTGGGCATAAAGCCCCTACATTTGATGTTTAGGAAAGTTTGGGAACCCGGACAAACATTTTCTTTCCTTTCCAGTGTACTCAAAGCTAAAATGCTACTCAATCAAAGCTGGAAAACTGTTTTTGTGACACTTTATTATCTCATCAGTCCGATATCATAGGCATTACATACTTGTGTTGACTGCAAACCGTGTCAACACATTAACAGTTCAATTTAATAAACAAATACTGCAACTTTTCAATGCTTTAGTAAAGGTTGTGTGGTGATGGTACATTTGCAAGATGTTAAAATCCCTCAAAATATGAAAATGTTCAATTCCAATAAATGTCTGTTTGATGTAATATTACAAACTCCTCTCCTCCCACACATCGGGAGGGTTTCACTGGCTGTGGCCGGACTCTGCGGGCTCGTCGGCGGCGGCAACGGGCTGCGGGTACTGGAACCGCATCGGGTCGTACAGATCATCCATGGGGTTGTAGGCCTTGGGGAAGAAGTAAGGGAAGATGGGTCCTTTCTTCTCTTTGGGAGCAGGAGGAGGGGTCTCAGGCACTGCTTCCTCTTCCTTCTCCTCCTCCACAGGGGGGGGTGGAGGCTGGACCACAATAGTCTTCCCCTTCATGGGCCGGGGGGGGGTGGTCAATCAGGCAGTCGGGGTCCCAGTAGGGGTCACAGTCGTACTCCATGCCCTTGAAGGAGCGGATGGGGACCGCGAAGGTCTTCTTGACGAGGATTGGAGGTGGGGGAGGAGGGGGGGGAGCCGGGGCCGACTTCTGTGGTGGAGGAGGGGGAGGAGGGTGGAGTGCTGCCACTGGAGCTGGAGCTTTCTGGGGGGTGCAGTGGGGGTGGTAGCGGGGGTCGCAGAGCACGGGCACGGAGCCGGTGGGCATGTAGACGATGTGGGGCTTGCAGAGGGGGTCCTTCTTGTTGCACAGGTACAGGACGTCGGCCTGGGAGATGACAGGAGCCGGGGGGAGGGCGGGGGGAGCTGTGGGCTTTCCTTTCATGGGAGGGGGAGGAGGAATAGCCATCGGGACCCCCAGCTTGTTCTGGTAGTATGAGGCGTCGGGGCCGTAGGTGTGCTCCAGGGCCCTCATCTGCTGGTACAGCATCCGCAGCTTGTCGATCTCATAGATCTGAGAGGGAGAAACAAAGTTAGAAATCACGAGTCCTTCACTTGTCCCGCAGCGGAGACATTTACATTGTAACAGAAAAAAGGGACAGTGGAGACAAAAGGATACAATAAGTGACTAACATAGAAAAAAAGTGGCAAGCACACATTAGTAAAATAAATTAAAGTAGAATGAGTACAAAGAAAAGTAGGTGACCAAATAAGAAGTTGTGAGGTAGAAGCAATTCATAATATACATATCAATATAATATTAACCCTTTTAAATACAAGATTAAAGGGAAGACAATTCCAATGTTACTAAAACATGATACAGCAGCTGTCATAGAAGCCTTTAATTTGGATGAATAAATGTGTCAAATATAATTAATTTT